TTTTTTCTTTCTTTAAAAAAAAACTTGGGAGATGGTTGTTCCTTTTCTGTTTGTTGTTTTAAAAAAAAATCTGATACCAAGGAAGTGAGCAAGTGCGTGAGCATTCTGGTTAGCAGTGACTCGCTTCGAAAGGTATTTGTCAACAACATCAATACAGCACCACGTTGTAGAAGTTGCAGGGTAAAAAATGAAAAATTGATTTGACGAGATAGTTGAAGTTTCAGAGCATTAATTCAACTGAAGGATTTTCCATTGTTGACTAACTTGTGGCATATTTCCTCCTAGGGCAGAGAGGTTAATTGTCCTTGTTATAAATATAAATCATACCATAGGCCATCTGAACAATGCTGAGCTTATGGTCCACAAACCTGAAACAGAAAGTGCTAAGGAACACTGAGGTGCTTGCATGGGGGTTCGGGGCAAGAAGCTGGAGAAGTCTGTTCATTTGTTAGGTTTGTTCATTCATTCATCCAGCCAACACAGCTTTATTGACCACCCTTTATCCAGCTCTGTCCCAGGCATCCGGGACACAGCAGGGAACAAAACAGACCCGTCCTCTGGCTCACAGGCAGATTTAGAGGGAGAGAGAGAAAAACTATCCTGTTGATGGGCAATATAATGCGAATCACTTTAAGACGCCTGAGTGATTTGGAAGCAGGGGGTTAAAATGTATCTCAGGTTGACATGCTGCTGAATCAGACAGCAATTTGAAAGGTGATAACAGAATCAATTTTGGCAAGTCATAGCATGCTGAACCTTGGGGGTTGAGGTATTTTTAAATGAATATGCTAAAACCTCTAAATATTCCACTTTGATTGTTTTAGGAAAAAGCGTTACTTGTGTAGACTGAAACGAGGAAAGAGGAAAGAAAATCATCAACAGTTAACTGCACATTTATATTAACAATGATAAAATCTGATTTTTAACCCAACCCCTTTTTCTCCAATAGCATTCAACAGAAATTAATATCAAGATCTGAGAGTAATAGCAAACGTTATCGTGTGACCATTCTGGTCATTTTCTTTCAGATTTGGTTTAAAGAGCAGTTGTTGCCTTCCCTTTAGGACTCCACTGGGACACACCCTCTGCACCTGCGAGCCCGGATGAGCCTCAGCCGACTGCATCCTGTGCTGTGTTCACTGTTCCCTGAAGCTAGAATTTCATTAAAATTCACATTGGCTTCTTATCTCAGATGGCGAAATGTGCTTTACATTGTAACAAGTCTCCAGCCTCTCCCCACCACTTCAGTACAGGAGCTACGTAATTTTGAAAGTGTGTAATTTATGAAATGGGTACAGCCAAATGTCCTCTGACTTGGGACATTTACCTCTTTGTTAGTTATCACCTTTCACATTGCTCTGGTTTTTTGGCCTTTCTCTCCTAATTTTGCCTGAAATTCTCTCTCTGTGCCACCTATTTAGTTTGGTGGCACTTAGAAGTAAAGTGCTGACTCCTGGTCTGTGGCCAAAGACATGACATGGGGTCTCAGAAGTGTCACTCTAAGATGACATCTGCCAGTCCTTTCCCTCTCCATGGGCGCGAGAGGACAGGTGTGTGCTTCCAGGGGAGTTGCTGAATGTATCCTTTTGTTCGGAAAGTTTAGGAGGCACAGCTAGACCCTTTAATGTATGAGGAAAGAGCACAGGAAGAGTTGTCCTATCTGCAGTGTAATCTAAAATCACTGGTCTAGCACAGAAGCCATCTATTTGTAATTCTTTTTTTGTAGTCATATACTCCGTTTTCATAAATAGCTCTTCAGGGCATGGAACAGAGTCTGCCTTTATGATCTGAGGACATTTCACGGCTGAGTTTCTTCCTGCTTTTTACTGAGAGTTACGTGATATTTTTAATCTGGCTTTAATGTGTGTACAGGCTTCCTTGGTCTTCTGCCTAGTGGGTGTGTTTTTAAAAATGGAAACCAGATTAAAAATGATACTTAGGTGATGGCCTAATAATAGCCACAAACTCAGTTTTTTTGTGTGGTTAGTTTTATATATCTGCTTTTTTCCCCCTCCCATTTTCTTTTCTGTTTTAGAAGTTTCAGTTGTCAATTTTAATGAAATTAACATCTCTCTCTGTGGCATAGTCAACAAAAATATTGTGGTAGAATTGTTTAGAATTTATATTCTAGACTCTGTTCATACACATACATATATCACGATACAAGTTTCAGCACCAGTTTAGCCACTGATTCATGCATGTGCTTTTTTCCTCTAGGAAAACTATGAGTCTTTTAGTGGAGCAATTCAGGAACTAAGAGGCTAGAGTAACTACAGGTTTAAGAAACTAAAGATGCACGGAAGTTAGGCTGTGGCTGATAGTGAGACATAGGAGGTCAAGATTTTCATTGTTAAGTTTTGTTTTCTTCGCTTTGTTCGCATGTCTGTGTGATGCTCTTCCTGTGGAGGGGCCTGGAACTCGGCAGCTCTGACTTGCATCGCTCACTGCATCAGGGCAGTTAGTGAATAGGTATGGATCAGAGTCGGCAGGAGTTACCGAGAACGCTGTGGAGTTGCGTGAGTCACACGGGCCTCTTCTGAGGTCCCGGCCCTGGAACTGGGCTGTTCTCCTTGCTGAGAGTTGTAGAGCGTGGTGCCCAGGACTGCGGTTGTGGGGGCACTTCTGTGAGGCTCTGCGGTGTCCCGGCCCAGCCACCTGCAGGCAGAGGCTGTGAGGGAGTGCTCGGAAGCATGGTTTTCTTGCCTGGTAGCAGTGGAAGGAGATCCTCTTTTCAAATCTCAGTAGATCAGCACCCACAGCCACGGCTTACTCCTGCCTAGTGTCTCCATCACGTGATCCGCCTCCTCCCTGCCTGGCTCCCAGAGCACTTCGTGCTGCCTTGGAACTTGCCATGCTGTGCCTGGCTCTCTAGGTATTCATGAGCTTGTCTCCTCGAGGGCCGCAGTGGTGCCTACTTCCTCTTTGCGTTTGCCCCGCTGCCCTCTCCGTCCACCTGACTTGGAATTGGGATGTGATCAGTCTTCGTGGTCACATTCCACGCGTTACCCAATGACTGCCAATGAATTGCTGAGACTACGTTGCATCCATTCAAGAATTTTGAAGGAACCTTAAGGATGAAATTGCAGAACCTTTGGCTCTTGTTTTTGCCTTTTATAAATAGGCAATGTTTTAAAAGCTTGGTGGGTCGCCAGCACAAAGTGTGATATAGTGGAAAGCAAAACGGCCCTGGAGGCCTGGGTTCTGTGTCGAGCCTTTTCACAACCAGCTGGGTGGTGCCACTGAGCCCCTGGACCTCAGGGTTGTCGTCAGGGTGTGTTTGGCGTCGTCTTTGCTTAGAGTCTCTGGTGATCGTCAGTATCATGGCTGCATGCCGTTAAACTGGGTTCTTCACACATGTGTAAGAAGTCTGTAAGTGGGGACAGGATTGTTATTAATCTGCTCTTTGGCTCTGTGAATGGTATGTTGTAGCGACTACATTCTGTTGGATTCCTCCAGAAGGTGCCGGTGTCCTTGCTGTTTGCGTGCTGGTTTCAGCAGGCTGGACGCCAGCCACCCGGCCTGCTCTTCCACAGTGGGCGAGCAGTCGCTCCATCCTTGGGTCAGGTCCTTATCTTTCCTGGAGCTGGGGCTGCTTGGAGCTTGCCCTGAACACACGGGGCTCAGGGGACAGCCAGAGGTTTGGGCCAAGTTTCTACACAGACGTGGGGCTCCCCTTCCCCTTCCCATGATTTCTGCTGCTGAGGTCGCCCCGAGCTGTGTCCTGACTTGTTTCAGCAGCTCTGGGTGGCTTTGGTTGGGCCCTGCTCTCAGGCTGAAAACCCTTACGGGGTCATTTCCTTTCTCCTGGTATCGCTCCCTGATTTTGGTCACTCTCCCGTGCCTGGGACAGTCGTGTTTTACAGGTTTCATATGCGGAGGACTGTTCCCCAGGAACTGCTCAGTCATACAGCAGTGGAAGCCCCTTCATTTACTGAGCACACTTTTCTTTCTTGCTAATTCCATCTCTACCTGTTGCATTGGTTGTGTTACCATGTTAATGTTTTGGATACTTTTCCTTGTATTATTTTGGCAAAAACACACAGGAAAATAGGAATGGGGCAGTAGTCTGTAATTTTTTTCTAGAGATTGCTCTTGCATTAATGATAATTACTGGTTTTGATGGGATGACCAACATCCTGAACCTGGATTACCTCTGGTAGAGACCTCCAAGAGAAGAATCCTGAGACTGTTAGAACCTCAAACTCCCACGTGGGCATTCGCCCTGGAGAGCCTGGCCGGGCATGTTTGAGCTGCCAGAATTCCTTCTGCTTAGATGGCTGTTGGCTTGGCCTAAATTGCCCGAGGCATGCTTCCTTGCCTCAGTAACTCCACTTGGCCTTCTATGACCTTGGGGACATTGGGGACATGGGGAGAGTTGGTTGGATGTGAGAAGAGGGACCTTGGCCACACTGTGAAGCAGGTGGACACCAGGCCATCTTACCACATTAGCCAGTGACAGTCCTCCAGGGGTGCATGACCCAGAAAGCCTGGAAGGACAGAGCCAAGAGGGAGCTGGGGCCAGACCCCAGCTATTTATAATCCCTGCTCTTCCCCCAACACTGTTTATTTTTAACTGGGTTCAGAAGTCTGACATCATGAGGCTTTGAGCTCCCCCTAGAGGTTTTCATGTGCCATGAATCACGGTTTTTAGAAAAACCATGTTGCTGCTTTATTTGCCAGTGTTTATGTTAATCTATGAAATTAAAGTGAAGAGTTTTGAAACGATCTGGACTGATTTCATATCCTGTCTTTTTGGGACTGAACCTTTATTTAAAGCTCGAATTGACCAAGAGCCTGCTTGGTATGGGAGCCTCTGGGTCAGCAGGCAAGTCATTCTTCCACGTTAAAATAGAAGGTAATCTTGTGATCAGAGACTTCTCTTCATAGTATTGAAATGTTTTCAAATGATGATATTTCTAAAGTCGATGTAATGCATGTGAAGAAAGCTGCTGTGTTGGCATTGGATAGAACGTGTGAGAAATTAAATGACACCCAAGCAACCTAGTAACTTTATTTTTTTCTTATGTATTTCAGGGTTTCGAAAAAACGATGAAATGAAAGCTATGGATGTTTTGCCAATTTTAAAGGAAAAAGTTGCATACCTTTCAGGTAAGGTTTAATTTTCTAATCTTTATTGTTCCTTTCAACTTGATAAAATGTCAGGAGTCTGAAGTACTAAAATAAAAGTATTGGCATCTCGAAGGATTTTTAACTGCTTTATTCTTTGTAGCATTTTCCTGAGGAATTAGTGCCCAGGCATTTCCTTCATCAGTCAGTATTGGTGATTAACATATGTTTATGGCTGTCCTCCAACAAATATTCGGCTGTTTTGTTCTATTCAGTTAAGTAAAAAAACCTGATTTTTCAGCAGAAGTGGTGGCATTGTGATCATATGTGGATATGTCCTGAATTCCTTACCTCTGTTTCTTGTGCTCTGGTCCTTGGAGTTTCCTAGAACCCATGTTACGGACCTTGAAAGCCTCCACCGGTCCTCTGCTTAACTGTAGAGTCTGGTCCTTGGGGCCCCGGCCCTGCTGCAGTGGCGACAGACTGTGGGCCAGTCTCCTGGGCTTTGGGACACTTACCTGGCCTCTCTGCGTGTAGAGGGTCAGCTCTAGGGCTTTTTTGGCTGTTTCCTCAGGGGCTCCCTCCTACACGAACAGAACAGCCGTGGGGTGTTACACCTTTTTAGCACGAGTACACTTACTGTAAAATTAAGGTTTGCAGAAGTTTTCTGCTGTTTTAGCCGGAAGTAAATCTGTAGATTGTCATGTGCTTTTGGAGTGTCTTCCTGGATGTTTCCCTTGATAAATTTTTATCTTTCTTCAACAGGCATACTATGCTGATCTGATTGATGTCTCCTTTGGGACACATTTTATTTTAAAATACTGCTAGCGGCTTTTACATGTTTTGTGTGTCCTTTCAGCATGTGGGACTGTTACATATTTAGGATGCAGCTTCCTGTGGTGTTTTTACTAATCTTATCTTACATTCTGTCCACTAGTGTTTCTTGGTCCCTATTAAACACTGTTTGATGATTTTGCGAAAGTAAATCTAATTCAAAGTGCATTTGAAAGGTTAATAGAAGAGTAAGAAGTTCATGAAAAGAAGGAAGTGCTTTAGATTGTTGGAAAAACTTGGTGGAAAAAAAAAATGAAGGGGGAAGAAAAACCCTCCTGGCTTATAATACACGGTTTTCAAAGTAGCATTTGCTCTTTTCTAATCACTTACTGACAAACTGCATAATTTGGATTCTTGCTAGTTTTGTGAACTCCTGACTAGTTTCCAGGTGGATTTTAAAGTTAAGATACTAATGAAAAGACTCTAGTTATAAATATTAGAGGCATCAGTAAGAAAGGCTTAATTAAAAACAGCGAGTCCCGCACATTTGTCAGTGTTTTATTTTAAAGTTTGGATCTGTGATGAGGGCCCTTCCTCCTCCATCTCCTCTATTGTTCCTGAACCTTATTCCACTTTCTTCTCCTGTTAATAAGCTCATGGAGACGGGCAGGTAAAGAAGAGTTGAAGGTTTAGGAGTCATGGTTTTTATTTGTATTCATTCTTTTTTTTTAAGCATTTAATGCAGAATATATTAATGGATGGCAATTCTCTCCAGGTTACTGTCAAACTATTTCTGTTTCAACTAATCAAAGAAATAAAACCAGTCTTGACAAGTTTATCATGAATCTTTTACTAAAGCCTTAAATTCTGCAGGGTTAATTAAAATCAGGTGTCTTTAGTGGGGAGGGAAGTTTTGCGTTGCAACAAATCAGTTCGGAACTGTTGTTAAATATTAGAGATGTTAGGACTTGTACCAGCTGTGTGAGGAGAATGGCGTTAGTAGGTGCCACCATGATTTTATAGCAATTTGTGACCAGAACTGGCCAGTTTAAGTAGCTTGAGGTTACTGCTGATTGCCTCAGACTTGCTGTTACCTTGTTGAGGAAGGGAAAAGAGAAAAAAAAATCATTAAATTAAAAACAAATTGATTACTTGTGTGGTGAAGTTTTTTTTTTGAAAAGTTACAATGAAGGAGTAAACTTGTGAAAATATTTTTACCTCTGGTCCTGTTTGTTTCTTTCTTCTTTTTCATCGAGATATAATTCATATACTATAACTCTGCCTTTTAAAAGCGTACGATCTTGTAGATTTTAGTGTATTCACAAGGTTGTGGAACCGTCGTCACCGTCTTAATTAATTCCAGAGCACACTTTTATTACCCCACAAAGAGCCCCTCTACTTTTTGCTATGACCCCATTTTTAAAAAAATATCAGGGTTATTTATTATGATAACTTTGTAAAAGGTCTCCATGTGAATGGCTTTTAGTAAATTAAATCTGAGTGGGATAGCCAGGGCTTTGAAAAAGCAGGCCACAGAATCACTGATTCTGTGAGATACCTACTGGCTCACGATCTCTGAAAAACCGGCGTGGACTCCTTAAACTTGAATATTCCTGATGCATTTCCGGGTACTCTAAAAAGTAGCCCTCATTGCACTTAAGATAGCAAAGTACTGCTTCCTCCATTCAAAAGGCAAATTAAATTAGATGAGATGATTTATCTGACTTCATGCATGAAGTCAGAGGAGAGGCTGTGAAAAAATATTCTGTAGTTTGTATTTAATGTTCTATATGTAAAGCATGGGTTTATTTATAGTATACATATTTAATATATTACATATATTTAATGTTCTGCGTGTGTGTATGTAATATGTATAGTGTCAAGCACCACATGTGGTTCCCATGCCACTAGGGCTTGGGCCTTAAAAGAACCTACAGACACCCACCAGAATTAAGAAGACATTCTCCCCCCTTATTTTTTTATCAGGGAACATTTCAACATCCAAAAGGAGACAGAATAGTAGAGTGAATTTGCATGAATCCATGGGTCACTTCTGTAATCTTGTTCCATCTGCATTCCTTGAAAAGGTTTAAAAACAAAACTCCTCAATACCATTAACAAACGTAAAAAATGAATAGTAATTATTATTATTTTTTTCTTAAAGTGTTGGGCCCTCTGCCTTGCGCTCCGGCCCAGTTCACCTGCCCCGGGGGTTGGAGGAACGCCGGCCTTTTCTCGGAAGGGCTCGGCCTCCTTGCGATTTTGAGGAAGCCAATGGCTGGGGCAGTAATTCTTTAATGTAAAAAAACTAATCAATATTCGTATTTCCCTGCTCATCTCATTATTTGTTTTTATAGGATGTACATTGCAGTCGGTTGATGTGTCTGGTGTCTCTTGTAATCTGCAGATTTTTCCTCCTCGTCCTTTTTCTCTTGCCCCTTTATGTTTACTGAGTGAGGAAATAGGGTGTCTTCCTGCAGATTTCCCTACGTTTTGCTATTTGCATCCCTGGGTTGCCATGTAACATGTTCCCCTTCCCCTGTGTGTTCTGTGAACTGGGAGCTGGATCTTGAGGCTTGATTAGACTTATCTTAGAATTTGCAGGGAAGTAGGCAAAACTTTTTAATGGGTAGTGTTGGACAGTTCTACTGGGAGCTTTACTGGGAGAGTCTGGTTGTCTCTTTTTTATGATGTTAAGCATTCATTGATGATTATTGTTTAGATATATTTTATAGGGTTGCAAAATGATGACATTCTAATTACATCCTTTTCCTTCATTTATTAACTTGGGTATTCCATAAGGAGACATATCCATCATCAGCTTCTTGGTTACCCTGAGAACATAGATCGTACAGGAAAGGATGGATAAATAATTGATTCTTGTCCTTTGCTAGTTTTCAGACTAATTAAAAATGATCATTAGTCATTTCAGGCTAATGAAAAATCTTTTTTTTTAAGGTATCATTTTGGGCTCACACATTTCAATTGTACACTTTCTTTTTCTCTCACGAAGTGAGAATTTTCCCGTCTGTGGCTGATGGGAGCCTCTGCAGACTGGCTCCTGAATCCATGTGCCACAGTGATACAGCTTCTTTCTTTGCTGATGTGACCAGATGTTTCAGGCTCGTCTTGTCTGTTTCCTGCCCCTGTCGGCCGTTTCCCTGGAGCGCCTGGTTCCTTTCCGCAGGGAGCTGGGGAGCTTGCTGTTCCGGGTGGGTCGCTGTTTCTGTGCCTCTTCAGTGGACACATTTAGAAAGTAGGTATAAACATGTTTTTTAAATGAGAAAGTGTATCATGACTTCATACCAAAATTTCCAATTCAAATTTGGGATTACAGGTATTTTTCTTTGATTTTATATTTGCATCTCCTTTGGAAGAGTTTGCTCTTTGTGGTCAGTGAGTTACCATTCTGGAGCAGGGCGGGGCGGGGGGGTTTGTTTTTTGACTAAGCCAGCGTTTGGATGGGCAGCTAATCCTTAATGAGCTGTTGGTTTTTGGTGCCAGACACGCAGTGGTCCAGGGACTGTAAAACTCCCATCCATGGGTATCCTGTGACGTTGGAAGGTGCAGGAAATGGACTTCCTGCCCTTTCCTTTTCATTGTAGGAACTAAGGCCCTGAGTTTCCGACTGTAAAATGGGACTTGACATCTGTCCCGCCTGCCTCACCACGAGGCTGTGGGTTGACCTCAGACTCCATGAGTCTGTCTAGTCGATGAAGCTTTTATGAGCTGCAACATTTTTATTTGTGTTAGTTCAGGAGCAGGAACTGTGAAGCTTCTCTGCCTCATAACCCGCTCAGTGTTTTCATTTGTGTACCTTCGGAGACACTGGCAATCAAGATAGATTTTGAGGAATGTACTGTAAACAGACATCGATGGAGGTGATTTTTAAGCTCCTTGGGGTTCAGAGACTATGTTCCGCTGAGCTAATACTGCATTTCACTGGTTCTAAGATTTCTTTTTTTTAACCTCACTGGGAGGGGTCAGCAGATGGGTGATTGGCACCTGCCTGTCACTGACTGTGACACTGCAGATTGGAAGATGCACCCCCAGGAGGTTAGCAGGTGAAAACATCGTTAAATGATTTAATAGAGAATATGCAAGTTTCACTTCGTAAGTGATTTTTTGATGACTTTTTAAAAAGTATCCTAGTGAGCTTTTGAAACTCTATTCTGGGAAAAGGAAGAAAGTAAAATGGTTTTTCCCCCTCCATCTTAGATTTCAAGCTGAGATTTAAACAAACTTTTTTAGGACACGAATGAGAGCCTGTTTGGTGAACATGCTGGCAGGTCTCAGGGGATGCTCTTCAGTGCCAGCACCGTGGGGCATCTCCAGCTGACAGTGAAGCAGTCCACAGAGGCAGCCAGGCCTTCTGCGCACACGTGTAGTTTGTTCTCACTTCTGGAGTGAACAGAATGGCCATGTGCTATGTGCACACCTGTTGACTCCCCGGCACTTTCGTGGGCGGATTTTGGATTCTCCTCTTCAAGGCCATGCTGGAGCCTGGCTGATCCCGTCATGAGATACAGTGACCTCAGAGGGAGGACAGTTGCCACGGGTCACGGGAATTTAGCCTCCCTAATGAATCACACATTGTGTTGTATTTGAAGCAGTTCAGAGTGGTGGTCCAGAGAAGTGTGGGGTTCCGTTCTCTTTACCAAAAGTAGGGTGAATGCTTTAATTTGCATGTCACTCTATTTTCAAAAGCTCAAGTTGCTGTAATAGGTGTTGACGTATAATAGTTTTGATCAGGGAGATTGATTCTTTTTTGAAAAGAATGAAAGCTGTAGGGAAATAAAATCTTGTTATATAAAAACTGAACTTGTTATCTGCCTAATCTTGGGAACAAGAAGTATTCCAAAAACCTGGAGCCATTGATATTTCCCTAAAAACACTGTCTGATACTTTATTTTATTATTTTGTTTTATTTTATTTCATTTTCTAATGGTGGTACTGGGGATTGAACCCAGGACCTTGTAGTTGGTAAGTTGCACTCCACCACTGAGCTCTACTCTCCCCTTGTCTGATATTTTAGACGATGGCTCCATAATGACAGCCTATCATTTCAGTATATATATTCTGTCATTTCATTCATCGTAACAATACTGCTTCTCACTTTTAATAGTTCTTTTCATTCATAAAAAAAAATTAGACCCCGGAACCCATCATTTAGTTGTCCTTCTGATATTATTTAGAAAGAGCGGACGCTACTCGTTTGAAAAATCATGTAAGTTCTTGCCAGGGCGAAGCGAAGGTCCAGCAGTGACTTGCTGGCATAGTCTCTTTGTCTTTAGTATTTAAGCTCTTTGAGCCTCAGTGTCTTTAACAGTAAAGCTGATGAGGGGAAGTCTCGTAACAGGGTCATTGTTCCTATAAGATCAGAGCGGGTGTGGAGCCCTCAGTGCTGTGCCTAGCCTGTGTCGGTCGCTGTGATGGATTGTTGTTCCCATTCAGTACCTGAGTTATTGGATTTATAAATAATTTTAACACTTTTCTGGACTGCAGGACTTAACAGTACTTGTGAATCAGTTTCAGTCTTCAGACTCAGCACTAAGTTTCATTCCTGTTTGGAGGAAGTGTTAATCATCCTAGGAAATTGTCAAGACTGGTCAAATGTGTTTTTAAAATACCAACATCTTCTGCTGAGTCTGTTTTTGACCTTTCTACAAGTAAGAGTCTGGTTTTCTGTTGTTTGTTTGTTTGTTTGCCTGCTTTTTCATTTACCTCTGCTGACAAGGTAAATAGTTAAGATGAGAAAAGAATGAAGAGTTTCATATTGTGGCTTGAATTTTGAGATCCTATTGCCATACTTTTGAAAAGAGATGACCAGAGCCGTAAAACCAAATGCAGCATACACTTGAGAAATTGGTTTTATTTCTCTGTATTCTGTTCTGAAAACCCTGGGAGAAGTAATAAAATTAATGTAGCAATTTGACCAAAAATGTTCAGTGATGCCAACAGACTTAAGATTGTATACATGTTACTGAGAAATAGTTCTGCCTTTTTATCAAAGACCAGTCATGTGAGATTTGTACTTAGTGTGCAATTTTTGTAAAATTCTTAAGCTGATTAATTAGTTCTGCTTTAAAATTCTTGCATGCCAATCTCTTTCTCTCTTTCTCTTATTTTTGGTTATGTGTGGCTTAGTGTGAGGGAGAAGGGCCAGAAAGCTTGGCTGTGGAGGTCAGATACTGCCCTGGAGAGAGGCAGATGAGGAAGATGTCCTGGATCCCAGATTGTATAGAGTAGACATCAGTGCAAAGTTTGAAAAACATACCCATCTTTTCCCTTTCAAGAATTAAACTCAGTTTGGTTGGTAGCAAAGAGAGTGCTTAGAATGCAGGGGAGGGGAGGAGAGGGGACAGTGTGGAGGAGAGACAGGGAGGGGGAGAGAGAGAGAGAGAGAAGGTGTGGGAGGTGGTTGTTGAAGGTGAAGGAAGCACGGAGATGTGCAAACTTTTTTTCTCTCCAAATATAAAACTGAAGAAAAGAGGGAGCGCGTTGGAAGAGAGAGATGAGGCCTGTTGTGACATCTTCCACGTGGTGCACAAAGCTCAGACCTTCAGAGTCCTGGGGGTGATGTTGCCGCCCCGTCTCAGCTGAAAGCCGGGCTCTGGCCCCCTGCCTGGGGCCCCCGGACGAGCAGGCGGTGGGGGTGCAGCTTTGCGCACGTGGGTGGGCGACGACTTTGGCCCCCCCGCAGTGTGTCCAGTCCTGTCTCCTCTTGTTTGTGTCTGAGCCATTCCACATGCTTGTTTCCAGGTGGCAGAGATAAACGCGGAGGTCCCATCCTAACGTTCCCGGCCCGCAGCAACCATGACAGAATACGACAGGAGGACCTGCGGAGGCTCATTTCCTATCTCGCCTGTGTCCCCAGGTGAGTCCTGCGGGCGTGTGGCTCGTCACCGCTCCCACTGTTCCGAGAGGTGCGTGCTCCGTTCTCTGGAAAACTACTCAACAGTAGCCTGGATTCCAAGTGGACAAAGTAGTGTAACATGAAAACCATGATCTTCCTCCTTATTTCCCTTTTGTGACCATCCTGTGGGTGCAGGGGTGAGAAGGTACGTGCTGTGAGTGAAGGGCTTTGTGTGGTGA